TTTCTTTTAATTTTTCAGTAATTTTGATTCATTATCAAGAACTTTAATTTTCTCGTGAAATTATGAATTCTTATTAACCTAAATTTCTTTTAATTTTTTCTGTAACTGTATATATAAAGTTTTGAAATAAAAGTATGGAGGAAAGAGAATAATTTTTTATATGACAATTATATCCTCACTTAAATTAGAAGATGGGAGTTAAAGAAGATAACAGTGCGCTTTAATTTCACTTTTTCTTATTTGTTTGTGAACATTTTATGGATTATTATTATTATTGTTGTTTTTGCTTTTTAATAAAGTTATTTGTGTATAACAGTATAAGCATGTAAACAGTTTACAAAATAACAATACCTTTTTTCCCCTTATTCTGCGGCAAAATTAATTAGATTTGTATTGATACACACACACACGTGTATATATATATATAAGAATTTGCTTATTCTTTGTAATTATATGTGCTTTAGTTTGGCTTCTCATAGGAAGGAAATGACCCTGCTGAAATGTTCGCTAATATTTTGAGTCTTTTTATTTTGCAATTTCCTTGTAAATTTATATTTATTTCGGAAAATTATTTAGAACAGAACAGAATTATTATAAGGAATATTAATTTTATCATGATTTGAAATAATAAAATATTTTTAATTAATAAATATAGGATGAGAACCAATTTTAGGTCATAGGATAAATTATGTGAGAGGAGTGGGTTAACTAACGGGTTTTGGGATGTGTTAGCACCCATGTTAACATTACTAATGGAGTAAGTATCTATGTGTTTGATTCAGGGAATATTGTATTATTTGAAATGTTATATTAATAGAAAGATAGATTACCTTGAAGATTATTGTGAATGTTTAGGGAGATGTGTTTGGTTGATTAGAATAAATTGGTGGGTATGCTATATTAATATGTTCAGTTAAGAGCAATAAATTGGTGGATATATTATATAAATTATTAAATTGTCTCCTTTTAAAATATTAATATAATATTATCATTTTTATTATTTTTTAAATAATTTTTTTAACTCCTTACATTTCTGATTTAGCTAAAACACCCCAACAAGATTTATTTTTTTTTAAATTTAACAAAAACACCCCCACCCACCCTAAGCTACTACTAAAGGCTGCCACCACCATCAGAAATGCTGACAATGAAAATTGGTCGTGAAAGGCCAGATATTTGGCTATGAAATGACAACTGTTTCACAGCTTACGGCCAAATCCGGCCACCACCCTTTGGTAATTTTTTAAAAGTTCAAGGGTATTTATGTCCTAAAAACCTTGTATATAAGGATAAAATAGTCAATTAGTATTTTTGTAAATTTTTTTTAAAACAAGGGCATTATTATCCTAAAATTTTATTAATAAGGGGTAAAATTGTAACAAAAATAAGATTACCAAATAATGTTAAAATACTTAAGAAAATGGAGGTAATCAGATTACCTCTTATATTACTAACAATAACTACTATGGGTGCGTTTGGATCATGGGCATATAAGATAACGAGGGTAATCTTCGTTTATTTTATAAGATTCCGGTGTTTGGTTTGCAAGTAATAAAATATTACGGGTATCTTTTATTATAAATAGTGTTTACTATTGGTAATGTAGGGGGTGAACCCATACTCTCCCCCAGGGCTGTTATTAAAAGATTACCAGGTAATCTGATTTTTATACCTATTTTGCCCTTAATTAAATACCATTTTGAACACAATTGCCCTCAAATGTCTACCAAATAACCATTCACCCAGCTCCCCTACATTTGAGAATTTAGCTAAAACATCCCAGCCACAAAAAAGTTTAAAAGTTAACAAAATACCTCCAGCTACCCAAGACCACTGCCGGCCGTCGGCGTCAGTTGGCATAATGGCACATGACTGGCGGGATCTGGCAGGTCGTGTGTCGATAAGGCCTTTTCCGGCTAGATCTAGCCTTTTCACGGCCATGGATTTGTGATCCATGGCCGGAAATGGCTTTGTCGGCACACGGCCAACCATATACGACAAATTGTGCGTCATTTTGTCGACTGTCGGTGGTGGTGGTTGGTTGTCGGCAGTGGCTTGAGGTGGGTGGGGGTGATTTTGCTATAAATTAAAGTTGTATATGGCTAGGGTGTTTTAGTAAAATTTCAAATTAGGGGGTTAAAAGAATTTATTCAAAAAATTATAATAAAAAATAATATTATATTAATATTTAAAAAGGATGATAATTTAGTAGTTTATATAACATACTCACTCATTTATCCTCCTAACCAAACACATTTCTTAAACATTCCCAACAATCTTCAAGGTAATCTATCTTTTCATTAATATAACATCCCCCTATAATAAAAACATTATATGATCCAAACGCCCCCTATTGGTTTTGGAAGATTACTGGAATCTTATAATACTTGACAACCAAACGTGATAATCAAGTTAATATAAGATGACATTACCTTAACAATCTCTTGTTACCCTCAACCAAACACACCCTTAGGGTTTAGGTTTATTATTCTAAGTCATGCAGTTTAAAATACTAGGACATAACCCCTTTGATTTTAAGAAATGGTAGCAATTTTTAATTGTAATATTATGTAATCAATACTTGGATATTATCAAAATGAGGGCTAGTCTGAATTTTAATCACAATAATTTTCCCAAAGGGGGTAAATCTAATATTTTAAAACCTAGGACCTAAACGACAGTTGACCAAAACCTCATGCTTTCTCTCATCTCTTATGTAACGTACGCATGTGATTTGATTCATGCGTATAAATTTGATATTTATTATTAATTTCATGTGTTGTTTGTGATTTTTCCATCAAGCTTGGAGAAGTTAGGGTTCAAGAGGTTCTTTACTTTTTTTGCATTTATATTCATTATTTTGTTGATTATCTTTAATCACGTACACATCCGTTCTGATTCCACCGGATCAATTGGATTATACTAGTTGGTGCTGTGTATAACTTTTCCCCTTCCGGAGTTTCATCACCTATGTATTTTGGATTTAAGTTATAAAATGTAACTCCTTATCTAAAGGTTCATTAAAAAATTAATGAAATTCATTTTAAATTGCATGCTTTATATAGAGTTGAATAATCCTTAAAATAAGCAACCTACACTAGCTTTTTAACATATGCTTCATGTCTGGTACATTTTCAATCAGAACTTTGGATATATACAATTAATTAAGCCTAACTCAAAAAGAATATTTCTATTGACAGCAAAATAATCAACGATCTTTATATAGAAGTTCCATAATACATTTGACAAAGGTCGTATCAAATAGAATATTTTATAGGAGCTTTAATTTGAGGGAGAGATTGTTTAATTTGTCTACATCAACTAGTTGAAAACGAATCCTTTGATTCAGATTTAGCTTTTTTGAGTTGAACATCGATCATCCTCCATTTATATTATTCATTTCGAGGTGTAAAATTGTTATTAATATCGAAGTAACGTTACTTTTTTCTTAACTCTCCTTAAGTTAGAACATAAATTAAGCGTATTTGAAAACAAGATAAGAGAAATTTAATAAAACTATGTTATATGTTGTCAGAGTAATGTTACATATATAAACTAATTATATAAAGTATTCCTCATAAACGGATACAACAATCCTGCATATTTGACATACTATCTATTATAATTATATAGTTTGTCTCAATTCAAAATAATCCAATTAAACACGTCAGTTTGTGTTGATGAATTTGTATGAAAACTTTGTATATGTAATATTATTTGTGTTTTTATTATGACTTGCCATTTTATTAAATGAGAATGACTAGGTATTAAGAAAAAGGTAGAAAAAAGATGAGACTCTTGAACCAAGCCATATGTATGTATTTAGTAGGTTATTAAATATTATCAAAATTAGTGCCAATATCGGTGATCTCACTAGCATTGTACTACAGAGAAATGAAATAAATTTAAGGGGAAAAAATGTGAAAAGAACAAATGAAATTGACATAGGAATATTTTAAATAATTTTAAATGGTGACCCGTTGAATGAACAAGTTGATGATGCTTCACATAAAATTAAGTGCTTCCAACCGGGTGGAAAAATCAAAATATGAGAGGCTAAAATTAAAATATATAGAAATGCTTTAATTTTATTATTATTATTTTTTTAAATGATTGGAGTGTTCGGACCAGTTTACGCGTATTTTAATTAATCTCCTGGGACCCTATAACTACTGGTCAGATACGAGTTTTAGTCGTCATTTTATTCTCTTGACTCGACTTTAATTTTATTCTCTTGACCTCATTTTATGCTATTCCAAGATAAGTTAGTATCTATTTACAACCTTTTTTAGATGCTTTTTAGACCGATGTTTGGTTAACTTTCTTTTTAATATTAAATCTAGGAAATGATAAATAAATAATATATTTAGTTTGGCTCATGACCACTATAAAGGCAAAAATATTTAAATTCTCAAGCATCTCAGTAATTTTCGAAAACTTTCAAATATTTCTCCATTAAAGAGGTTATGATTCTTTTATAGTTTTTTTAATAATTTCATATTTTTTAAAAATAATTTTAAATATATTTAACACTTATAAAAAATCGTTACAGCGCTTGAGAGTATCAATCATTCACGTGTTTAATGAAATTAGCCCTTATTTAACAAACGACAAACACTATATAATAAAATGAAATAAAAACCATATCTTCACGATGTTGTAGCGATTTTTTTTTTTTTTTTTGCAAGAATTACTTTGATTCAATGTTTTGTCTCATCATTATATTTTCTAAGATAATTTTAATAATTTTTCGATTAAAATAAGTATATGCTTGGTCCAACATTACAACTGCCCTAACATTAATTAATATTCTCATTTAAAAGAGATGAGAAGATACCATTCTTTTCATAAAGTTTATGTCATTTGCTAACAGTTTTTGTTTTCTCTTCGTTAATTCCTTGAGTGAACGTATTTTTCATTATTTCAAGATTCTTTCTTTCTTCTTTTCTTCACATATAAATAACCTTCTTAGACAACTCATTTCTTCGCCATCATAGATCTTACAAACCCTAGAACTCATAAAACAAATAGAGGGCCTTTGATCATCACTTTCTTCACAGGTAATTCGATTATTTGATCGCCTTCAAAGATGTCCAGTTCTCCACATTATGTGCCTCCGCCTGGAGATGTTTCAGTGCGTGATGTAAGAATATTCATGCTTCTATTACAAATATATAATTAATTTTTGTAATGTTTGATGTCACTATTTGATAATACGTATTACTCAGTTTGATTATGTATAATTCACACACACATATATATATATATATATATATTTTGTTTATATGCAGTGTTTTAACTAGGGTATAATTATAATTTTTTCATAATTTCGACAAACTTGTGCTCAAATAAAAAAAAAAAAAAAAAAAAAATAATTGAAACCTTGAATATTATCATTCATTTTATTGTAATATAACATGGGTCAATTAACTATTTCACAGATATTATGATTATATAACTTACACATTTAAAGTTTAATTTTGAGCAGTCGAATTTATGATGATTTTTTTTTATCAAATAATTATAAATATTTTTTTGGGTTGTAAAATTGAATAGGGCGACAAAATTACCATCAAGCCCAGAGGATTTAACATTGTATGGGGCAACGACAGCCGCTACTGGAAGCTACCTGGAGAAGGGTACGTTTATAATATTCTCTATTTCTTATATTATTATTTTGAGATATAAAGAATTTTAATTAATTTCAATTACAGTAATTAATTAATAAATTCATCGAAAGAATATTTTGATTTGTACATGCAAAGGTATACCTGCATATTACTTACCCAAAAAAAAGATTGATTATTAATTAATTAGGAAGAAATTAACTATCGTAAATTCATATATTAATTATTAAAATTAATTAGTGGTTTTCATGAAATATAAATTCCCAATTCGGAACATGAAATATAAAAGATAGAATTTTTAAAAGACAAAAATTTTCTGACAAATATATAATTTTCAACCTTTAAAATAATTTTTGTGGTCCCTTCCATATGTAAACTTTACCTTTTCCCCCAAAGCGAATTTCTTAGGTCCGCTCCCGTGATCACCGGTGCTTGATTGGAAGGAATGCTCATACACGTAAACACAACGGCGGAGCTATTCAGGAGTCTTGGGTGGCCATGCCCATGAAAATTTTTAGAATTCATTTTTAATTGTCGCCCCTCTCATTCATTAAATATTATATTTTGCCCTCCCAAAATAAACTTCATGGCTTCATCCATTAAAATTTAAAACACCCCAAGCAATATTTGTAGGAATCTTGTTTACTAGTGGGCTTTATGCACTTTCTTGTAGGAAAAATGATGAACCGGCAGAGCTAGTGCAGGTGTCTTGGCTTGAAGTAACTGGTTCGGTGACTGTAACGAAAGGAAAGAAGTATAAAATCTGGTTTAAGGTTTCGTTGAAAGATGGGGCGTTCGGGTGGAACGGGTGTCCAGTTTTTATGATGGCGAAGATTGGGAAGAAGGGAAGATATAGCTGGAAAAGAATAAAGCCTCTGGATCAATTCTATGGAAATAATAACAAGGAAATTCCAGAGGAAGGTTTTGAAATGGATGTCCCAGAGAATGGTGACGATCAACTCTTTTTTGGTCTTTATGAAGTTTGGAGTGGAAAATGGAAGGGAGGGTTGCTTATTCATGAAGCAATCATCAAACCAGCCTAATATTTAAGCCAAAAAAATAAAAAATAAAAAATAAGTTGATCATATTTATACATCTGAATTTTCATAATTATTGCTTGTTTAATTACTTTTGTTAATCTTAATATGTAATTTGTGTCGGCTGCAATGAAGCTGAATCATGCTTGAAAGACCAAAAGATAAAAAGGAAATAAGTGGCCTTTTTATTGTTATTTGATTCTATCTTCATTTATTTGTTTTTGCTTATTTAGTTTTGATGGGAATGTTATTAGAATTTAATTATTTATATATACAATACGAGAAAATATTTGATATTACATGATATCACGTCAATAGTACAAGTCAATATTTGAAATATCAATAATTTATTTTTTGGGCATGCATGTCACAATGAATATACTTTCCTAAATTTATGTACATAAATGATTAATTAGATGGTCAATAACTTGAAAATGTTGCCCAAAGAAAAAAAGAAAATAACAATATTATTGTATCTCGACTTAATTATCACATTCGATGAACATAATGACAAGTTTTTACTTTTATTAAGGCAAGTTCATTTATTGGATAATCCTAGTTTAACACAAAATTCTAACACAAATTTGAACTATATTCTTGGTTATTAGAAAAGTATTATAATTGTCATTCGATGATCTTGTTCGGTCGACAATCGTCGATTTATCCAAACTTGTTCGGTCGAGTATAATTGATGTAGAATAAGGCATGAATTGATTCCATTGCCACTTTAAGGATGGAAGACTTTCACTTATATAAACTTCATAATCTGAAAAGAACTAATTCCAACCTTCCTTATCACTTTGGTTATCTTCCACAACTTTAATGGCTTCGTTTTTTTTTTTTTTTTAAATAAAGAAAGCTAGCTATTCTTGAACAATCTTCATTTGCTTTAAGATCCTAGCCAGCTAAAGCGTGAATCCCATGTACAGTTCTACAGTATTTTGTCTTTTCCAAATTAATAAACATAATTTTTGTTCCAACTTCAATCCGATGTGATGTTTTTCTTACATGCTGAAACATTTAACACGTACATAAATTAAGGATCGCAATTAAACACTGTTGTATTCACCACATTGAACTGAATTGTAATTTACAATTCAAATCTAATAACATATATGTATGGTTTTAACACAATTACATTAAAATGTCTTGACTAGAGAATTATTGTAAATAGTTTTACTGTAAAAATAAAGGAAATATTAAGGCGGGATTTAGGCTAACTTTTAAAAATAAAGGAAAAGGGAAAAAAAAAGCAAGAAAAAGAAAAAGCTGAGCAACTAATTTTATTTCACGCTTTATGCTCTAACAAGAAATATATATATAATATGGTGGCATCAAGGTGAATACTTTACATCAAAATTAAAGATGAATAATGAGCATAAGCAGGATTACTCCTACCCCCATTGGAAGGCTGTTAGTTGATCAATTTTAATCATTTTAAACGTTTCATTAATTTAATTTTCATATGATTAATCATATTGTTTATGCATTACTTCTTCTTAATTAATCTTGTTTTACTTTCCAGGATGACTCTTCTTGTTACATTAAGGATTCTTCAGGATCAATTAGAGTTCCTGTCAGGGCTCTAAACATCATATGGGGCAACGCTCCCCGATTTTGGCAATGGATCAAGCTAACCGAAGAGAACTCAAAGTACGAAATTTTATAGGATTTTTTAAAATTTATTTTATACACAATTTCCACCCCGCAATTGCTGTTTTTCAGTCTTGAAAGTTTCCAGGGCCTCAGGATTTGAAGAAGGTGCAGCACTCAATCAGGTTAACTGGATCGAGGTCACAGGGAATTTGCATAGCATTGCCTCTGTGGCTGCATCAGCGAAGATGTACGAAATATTTTATGTTGTGAAGTTCCAGGTTGATGCATTTGGATGGCATTCAGTTCCGATCAAGTTCAAGGTGAATCACAATGGAGAAGAGAGAGTGAGAAGTGTAATGCTCCAGGCTTACAGGGAGAAACAGGAGGAATGGCTTGAGATTCCTGGAGGCGATTTCACGGTTTCGGATGATAAATTTGGAGCTGTAGAGTTTGGTATGCTTGAAGTCGAGAGTGACTGGTGGAAAGGGGGCATGGTTCTTGCTGGTATCAGGGTTAAACCTAAAAATTAAGTTGATTTTATATGTTTTTTTTATATATATTTTTATTCTGAACATAAATTAAGTTACTTCAGGTTTTTTTTCTTCTTTGGATTGACCCCTGATTTCAGAGAATTTACATAATTTAAAACTTGAATTGGCATCAATTACAGGGATTACATCAGATCTTTGTATTAGGATGAACCTGATTCAAGGAAATTTTGTCATACTACATAATTGAAGCATCATCATGAATTGCATTATTAACATTCAAATCGAAACACGACAGCATGAAAAAAAAAATATTGTTAGAAAAGGAAAGATTATACCTAGACAGAGAGCTTAACATTTTTTCTAAGAAAATATAAAGCATTAAGGGAAGCGACAGTTGAAAAATCCCAAACGTCGTCCATTAGATTTTTCTTGATCTTTACGCTGGGATGAGCCCTAGTTCAAAGAGAATTCGGTATATATATTATTATATTACATAGTAGAAGCTTGATTCTAATTAATTTTTTACTTGCCAATCCAACAGTTGGCAAAGCTTACAGATTGAAGACATCTTTAATCTAATGGTTGATAGGGAACCATTAAATAATTTATTGTATGACCATTGAGTTAAATTTTGCTTAGTAGATTTGATTCTCTTATCTTGAGCATGGAGCAAAGGCATATTAAATGAGAGTCAATGAGTTAGCTAGCTGCCTAGCCATTTCTAGTACCATATATAATTAATTAAACAGCTTCTGAGCATAAGATTTAGTTTGATAGTTTAATGCATATCATCTACCTCTCTCTATGAGTAGTAGTACTCATTTACATATTGGTTTTAGAGATTAATATAAGTCCATCACTTGATAAAATCAGCTTCTTAGAATCTGAAAAGGATTAAATAAAAAAAATGTATTCCTGCCATATGTGATGGTGACAGAAAACCTAATCCAATATTATGATTTTTTTAAGGTAAAGTTTTAACGCCTGAATTTGAAGAATGGAGATTAATGTCCAACATTTCTTCATCACGATTCACGGACAACAAATCAACAGTCCATAATCAATTTCAACTCAACAAGAACAAAAGAAAATTACATTTTTTTATTTTAAAAGTAAAAGATCTAGTGGTCGTCTAGGCGGCGATCAATGGTGACCACGCCACCAGGCTGGTATGGGCCACCTAGATTGCAGGAAGCCCGAGAACCGCTGCAAATCCAGCCACCCAGATCGTGTAGGCCGGTCGCCGTCCATGTTTTGTTTCCAACTTTAATTTTCTGATTCTTCAAAGACTTACTCTCTAAGATGGGGTAATGTTGGGTGTTTCTGAAACTAAGGGGAACAATGTTGTTTAGTGATAGTTTGGTGGTGAAAATGTAATTCAGCCTTAAAAATATGTCTAAATAAAATGTAAAAAACAGTGTTCAGTGTCCTTTGTCCCCTCGTTGTCTGTTGGCATTTTTACAAGTCAATTTTGCGAATTAATATAAAGTGATTTAGAAGACAATTTAATCCTTGGTTTACTTTAGTATTTACATAAAACTTTTAACATAATAAAAATAATTAATTTTGAAATTAGTTAAATCAAATATTTTTATAATACTTTATATGTAAACTATTTAAAAGCATTTAAAGTTATTATATTTTTCTTTCCCGTTTTTAGAAAAATAAATGAATTTAAGAAATAATTACGTAAATACAAAATATTATTTCACATTTAGCAAAAAATAAAAATAAAAAAAATTAATTTTAAAAATAAAATCTATTCCTAACATGAATTTGTATCATTGAGGGACAAAAATGACTTTGAGCAGAGACAAAGACATGACAGCTGTAAAGGCCCGACAACTCTGGGGTATCGTGAAAGGAAATATGCGAAGAAAAGGAGTTTTTAACAAGGGGCGTAAATGTTAATTTTTTCAAAACTTATGGACCTTAACAAATGTAGTTTCATGAAAAAGTTAGTATAAACAAGTCTCGATAATTGAAAGAAGATGATTATTTTGAAAATCCGCTGTTTCGCTCATCATTTTCGTTAACTGACTGATCGGCATACTATCACCTAGGTTCCTGAACTTGGAATGGATAGGGACATAAAAAAGGCCGTGGTAGAATTTTTTAAAAGGCCTAAAGGTGGTAGAGATGATAAAGAGAGTGAAGAAGAAAAACCAGAGGTGCTCTCTCTCTCTCTCTCTCTCTCTCTCTCTCTGTAAATATATATTAAATTCTTAGATGAAATTTTTTATTTTAATTATATTTGATGCAAAATTTAACTAAGATTATTATTACTTTTGTGGACATTGCAGGGGATACTGAATCTTGGTTTGATTTGAGCTATATATATATATAATATTTATGAAATATTTTATAAAGTTTATGATGTACATGTTGGGTCTTAGAATTCTTGAATTTGGGATATGTATGGGCAAAAAATTGTCTTGGGTCTGACAAGACCCAATAACGAAATAAACATGTCATGGCTCTAGGTCTTAGCCCAATTTTGGTTGGGCCTACACTTAAATTCATCTTGTAAACTGTCAATTTTATGAGTTAGACTATCCCACAAGTTAAGCTAAAACTAAGTTCCGACCCATTAGCCTACAACAATCCATAAATAGGAAATCAGAATCCCATTTTATTTCCTCTTTTGCTAAGCTCTTGAATCTTATTGAAACTAATAAACCTAATCTCATAAGGACAAGAATCATCTTTCTTTCCTAATAGGGATTATCTCCTAAAGTAGGACTCAGTGTCCTACTAGGATTCCAACCCCTTGGGTTCACCATAAAAACAGAGGCATGCCCTCTCATAAAGTGGAAAATCTCCACTACTCAAAACCACCTACTTGCTCCTAAGTTCTTACTCCCGAGAACCTGACGCCTTTTCCGTAGTCCTAGTTTCTAACAAAACTCCTAGTAATCATTCTTTCCTTAATTCTTATTAAATAGTCTGTTTCAGCCTTGTTGACTTGAGTGTCCGAGTGCCTACGGGAAACACCACCTCGGTGTTTCCCAAAAGCTTCACACTTGTATTTTCATGAGTGTAGGTTCATTGGATTGTTAGTGGCCTCAATTACGAGATCAGACCCTATTTCCGTAAACGTAGATTTTTTGCATCTACAGTTTGGTGCCCACTGTGGGGCCTCTGATAATCATCATTCCGTCAACGATCTACTCCACAACCCCTTCATGGCTGAAATCACAGACAATGCTTTTCCAGATCTCGCGACTTAGGTTGTGACCCTCACTGCCTAAATGCAACAACACACTAACAAAGTCACAGCATTGGAAACCAAGAACGCTATCACCGGGTTGAGAACCAAACCCTATCAGACAAGGTAACTTAGTCCTCTCTCGATTTCCCACACAATCAAGTGCTAGAGAACCGCTTTTGTGTCCCAGTAAATTCCAAGCAACCTTTAATGACCCCATACCCCAAACCCACAGTCTCGGCCTCACACGGCCTCGGTCGGCCTCACACGGCCTCGGTCAGCCTCAGTCGGCCTCACACGGCCTCAGTAGGCCTCACACGGCCTCAATCGGCCTCACACTGCCTCAGTCGGCCTCACTCTGCCTCACATAGCCTCACTTTGCCTCACACAGCCTCATACAACCTCACTCGATCTTTAAGCTTCACACGACCTCAGTCGGCAACGCACGACCTTACTCGACTCATCCTTAATACTCCCACACGAAGTCTCTTTAGGAGGGTCCCTCGACACTTCACCACTCGACTCATCCCTGCTTGGCTTGGCTCGGCTCGGCTCATCCCTAAGGCTTCCACTCTTCAAAAGAGTGACTCTTCCCCACTTTGGCTCCTCTTCGCTCCACTCTTCCCGCTCGGCTTGGCTCATCCCCAAAGGTTCTACTCTTCCCCACTTGGCTCCTATTCGCTTCACTCTTCCCGCTCGGCTCGACTCATCCTTAAGGCTTCCATTCTTCAAAAGAGTGACTTGCTCCATTCTTCCCGCTTGACTTGGCTCACCCCCAAGGCTTCCACTCTTCAAAAGAGTGACTCTTGCTCACTTGACTCCATTCTTCCCGCTCGGCTCAGCTTGGCCCATCCCCAAGGCTTCCACTTTTCAAAAGAGTGACTTGCTCCACTCTTCTCGCTTGACTTGGCTCATCTCCAAGGCTTGCACTCTTCAAAAGAGTGACTCGCTCCACTTTTCCCGCTTGGCTCAGCTCATTCCTAAGGCTTTCACTCATCTTCAAAAGAGTCATTTGACTCTTCCCCACTTGGCTCTTCGCTCCACTCTTCCCGCTCGGCTTGGCTCATCCCTAAGGCTCCCATTCTTTAAAAGAGTGACTCTTCCCCACTTAGCTTTTCTTCGCTTCGCTCTTCTCAATTTAGCTCGGCTCACCCTCATGAGTCGAGTGAACTCCATCACACCCATCTAACACCACTCGACTCCACTCATCCTCATGGGTCGAGTGGCATCCAAACTACCCCACACAACATCCATGTTGACAGAATCGCCCGAATTGTCACATTGGGTTTGCTCATCCTGAAGGGTGAATGGAGACCAACACTCCCTAGTCACCATCCATGTTGGCCAAGTACCCGAATTGTCACACTTGGGTTGACTTATCCCGAAGGGATGAATGGAAACCAAAGCACCCCATTCACTATCCATGCCAGCCAAAGCACTTGAACCATCACTCTCGTGCTAACTCATCTTGATGGGATGAATAGAGAC